AACGGAACAACCCGGAAGCGGCGCGCGCTCCGGCGAGCTTCCCTAAAGGAGATCCCGTGTCGGGGAGTTGTTCTCATCGCTAAAAGCTTCTGCAGATCATGGGCTGAAACCGACCTGTGTGGGTGTGTGTTACTCCTTACTGCTCCGCTTTAGGCGTCCAGCGTCTTTCGCTTTACATTACAACGTCTCTTTCAGAAGAACGGGCCTAAACGGGACTTACGGCTGATGCACACGCCCCGTGGCGGAGCAAGGCAGGCCGGGGCCGGCCGGGCCTGCTGCTTCCCAAGGACACAGGACCTGCCAAAGCACCGCGCTAAGCGGGACGCGGCCCGAGCAGACCCTGCAGCCCCCAGCATGGCCCGAGCGAGCCCCGCAGCGCGGCCCGCCTGAGCCCTGCAGCCCGCAGCGCTGCTCCTGTAGCACTGGAGGGTGGCGAGGGAAGAGCCCAAGGACATCTCCGAGTCCTCACGTCTCCCGCAGCTGTGGACTGAGAGCATCCTGCCTCTCCTGCATCTGTGTTGGTCTCTGCCACATTAGTCAAACTGGGACTACACTTGGGGAAAGTGGACTTTGCACTTTTTTTCCAATTCTATCATTTGTCCAGTCTGTAGTAGCTTTTCAGCTGACACAGACATGCACTCTATTGCCACAGTTAAGGGGAGGGAGGAGAAGGAATAACTATTAGGAATAACAGCATTATAACTATCATACAAAAAAAAAGGGGGGGTTAAAGGAACATGAGGGAGCTTTACCAGGTGGTTAACTTCTCATAGGAGGGAAGAGGTAGGGAGGAAATGGAAAGAAACCAAGTACATCTTTCTACTCTTTGCCTAGCTTTTATTAAATAATACATACAAACTTCTTTTTGTGCTTTCAGTAGAGAACATATTTTCTCTGTCTCAAAAAAAAACTTAAAAAAATAGCATTAAGTAATCAGTTCAGTGTAGCTTTATTTCACAAAATTTCCTTGCCCCAAAAGGGCACAGAGGGCAGCTGTGTTGCATCTAAACCCATGAAGCATACCAGATAAAAAGTCCAAGCGTTTCCTAATGAAAGGCTCTACAGTATCTACCCGTGGCTTAACGGGGATGGCAGAGGAGCTCCAACAAGTCTGGCAGAGGCAGGTTAGGATGTTGGAGCCCCAGCCTTTTCTCTGTCCTTCCCTTGTGAGGTTGCTGCCCCTCCGAGGACAGCAGACACCTGCCCTTGCGCCCCAGCTCCTCTGCTCTCAAGCGCGGGGCTCCAGCGTGCGTCCCCAATGAGGCCGACTAAGAGCTAAACTGTCACACCTTACAGATGGGTGAATGAAGTGCAGGCACGTTCACTAATGACTCCCTAAGCCAGTCCAGCAAGACCCACAACTAGTTTGTCTGGCAGCTTCCGAAAAGGCAAGCTGTGCTGCTAGTGCCGAGTAGTTACTGGTACGAGCCGTAACTAGAGCCTTTATGAATGGCTTTCCCTGTGTGAGTTACTGCAAGCAAAACTGCCACGGACAAACAAAAACAAACCAGAAAACCACTCAAGACGCTCAAAAGCTTTCTCTTCACCAAAGAGAGGAAGGGCAAGTACAGAATAGAAAGCTGCAACTTTGAAACACAATGATCAAAGGAGCGGAGTAGCTCCTGGCCATAAGGAGGAGCAGGGTAGAGGAAAGTCCATCAGCAGATCATCATCTAAAGCAGTCTCTGTACTCTCACCAGAGCTTCTGGGAGGTAAGGTAAGCACTGCTTGCACCTTCTCAAAAACAGTGTCTTCTCAAAGAGGAGTAATGAGTGTTGTGGCAAGAGATGTTACAGGTGCAGAGAGGAAAGTTATGCCAAAAGATCTAGTTAAGAGGTGCTTAGCATGAGTAGTCAAACACTTGCAGAGCGTTGCAGGAGTGAGTTTGGGGGTGGGGTTTTTTTAATTATTATTCAATGAGCTCATGCAAGAGGGGGAGACAGGGGCAAATCCTTTTTTTCCAGGCATCCACCACATTGCCTGCAATGGGATGTGCCACAACAACAAAGGTAAGCTTTATGCAACTGTTACCTAAACATCAATGACATTTAAAATAGAAAAATTTTCTTACACAGTGTTATGAATAAAATTGCACTTGATTTTGTTAAAAACCCATCCAATCACTGTAACTTTTCCAAATATTTCTTTTATGGCATCCTAATTTCATTCAGTAATAAGAACTGCTCTCTAAAAACCTTTCACTTATGTTGGAGTTTACCAGTGAGCCATTATCTGTCAAAAAACAGGTATGTTGTTTTTCCAGTGCTTATTTCCACCCTCCCCCCGAAATGACACAGGCAGTTGACCTGTATAAGTGAGCTGTAACATTGAAATAGAAACTCCTCAAGCAGACATTAGGAATTTTAGTTTCACAGATTAAATATTTGAAAAGTTACAGAAGGTGCCGGAATAGTATACATTTAAATTGCTTAAAAATCCAAACTCGCAGCAACTTTGAAAATTCAAAATTTCCAAAAGGTGTATCAATGTCTTTGTGAGCCTCTTCCACAGCAAGATGCCCTCATGCCAATAAAGCATCAAACTCCCATGGCTGAGATGAAGAAACAAATCAGCAGGATGTAATTTTAAGAGAGCAACTTTAAGAGAGCTTCTCCAAGTCTAATAGTAAAGACTCCATTTGCTGCTCCTTCATTCCATTTTGGACCTTTCAAAGTGTGTAATCATTCTTTCCTGCAAGAGAAAAAAAAAGCCACCTAGTTTTGTCGTTTGGCTCTACATATTAACATTATACAGAATATACAGATTTAAAACAAATGCATGCTCATCTCCATGTTAAGTCCAACTTACACAGCAGGTACCCCCTTTCTTTTAGAATGGAAAGTTATAATCCTGCATTCACAACTTACTAGTTCACAGGCATTATCAGGTTATGCCGTTCACGTGTGTATTACTCACATGCACACCTCAATTTTCACTATTGTGAAAGCAACTCTCGCTCTAGCTGATAGGTTGTACTGTTTCCTCCTGCTCCACAGACTAGGTTAATACAGACTTCCCTTCCGAACACTTACTCGTGGGATTCTACTCTGAGTTACAAATATATTAACGAATACCTACGTACAGAGTCCAGATAGTTCTTTTAGTGCTGTGACATTCACCTTTTTTTCCTCATCAAACCTTCCTGATAGTTTAATTCTGGCATAAATTTACTAGCTGTTAGCAGGCTGACTAGCTGTTAGCAGGCTGACAATACACAGAGGTAGTCCTAAGGGTAGCAATAGTGAAGGACATGATAGTTCTAGTTACATGTGATAAAGCCATCATTTAAAACCACAGTACTATCACAATGTTCTCTACACTATTCATCATTGCTGTGTGGCATTTCAAAAAGCAGTTACCAGAAAAGCCTTCTGAATTCCAACAGGCATGTGTTTTTGGACACCAGCACAAAGAAAGTTATGCCAGATGAGTCAGAAATACTTTGTCATTTTCCTTTAAATGCATATAGTGCTTTTCAAGTAATCCAATAATTAACAGTATCATGACACCAAGAATATTGCCTGCCATGGGAGGACACAACAATATCTGTCACTCACAATGTTAACAAAAAACCCATCTACAAGCTGCATGAGCCAGTT